GGAAGGAAGGAGCTGTCCTCAGGGGACAGGCTGCACTGGAGTTATACTGGGACCTGAGTTCTGATGAACTGAAATAACGAGGGCTGTTGATAGAACTTTCAACTAGTTGGGAGGGGTGGGTTCAGTTGCATGGAAAATTATGGAAATGGTTGGAGGGTTCAGGAGAGATTATTAAAGTTCCTGGGACAAGTAATAGGGCAGAGACTATGGAAAGGGTCAGGAATCTAACTTCAGGCACAGAAGATAAGGGGACAACTATGTGAGGGGGACGTTCAACGTAGGACTGAGTGTGTGTACTTAAAAGTGCACATTTTCAAAACCATGTAAATGAGTTTGTAGCACAGATTAAAATTGGCAGGTACAATATTGTGGCAATCAGACGTAGATGCAAGGGGATCAGGGCTGGGAACTAAATATCCAAGGATACACCACCTATCGAAAGGACAGGCAGATGGGCAGCGGGGATGGATGTGCCCTGTTAGTAAGACATGAAATTAGAAATATAGCAAGAATTTAGATATATAGGGTTGGAAGGAGAAGAATCTGTGTGGGTAGAGTTGAGGAACTGCAAAGGGAAAAAGATCGTGATGGGAGTTATGTATGGCTTCCTAGCAGTAGTCAGGATGTGAGCCAGAAACTAAATCGGGAGATAGAAAAAGAATGTAAGAAAGGTGCTATTACAACAATCATGGGAGCCTTCATTATAAAAGTGGACTGGGAAAATCAGGTTGGTAGCGGATCCCAAGAAAAGGAATTTATAGAATGTCGATCAGATGGATTTTTGGAGTAGCCTGTGGTAGAGCCCAAAGCAGAGCAGGCAATTTTGGATTTGGTGATGTGCAATGAGGCAGACTTGAATAAGGAGCTTGAGGTAAAGGAACCCCTGGGGGAAGTGACCATAATATAACAGAAGTCACCCAGCAGTTTGATCATAGAATCCCTACAGTGTGGAAACAGGCTCTTTGGTCCAACAAGTCCACACTGACCCTCAAAGTATCCCACCCAAACACATCCCCCATAAGCCACCTAACCTACACATCCCTGAACACTATGAGCAATTTAACATGGCCAATCCACCTAGCCTGCACATCTCTGGACTGCAAACTGGAGCACCTGGCAGAAATCCAGGGAAAATGTGCAAACTCCACGCAGGCAGTCGCCTGAGGGTGGAATTGAACCTAGGTTTCTGGCACTGTGAGGCAGCAATGCTAACCTCTGAGCCATCAGAGAAGTTTGAATCAGATAAATAGTATTACAATTGAGTAATAATAACTACAAAGATATGAGGGAGGAGCTGGCCAGATTTGATTGGGAGGGGAGCCTACTTTTTAAGATTTTAATTTCTTACAACAAGGCAACCCCACCGCCTCTGTACTTTTCTTGGGACGGGTATCCTTGGATATTCAGTTCCCAGCCCTGATTAGCCACGTCTCTGTGATATCCATAACACTGTACCTGCCAATTTTAATCTCATTTACCTTGTTTTGCATACTGTGCACATTTAAGTACAACACCCTCAGCTCACCCTTCTCATATTTGTTCCCTTATTTGCTGGGCTTGAAGTTAATTCCTGACACTTTCCATACTCTCTGTCCAATTACTTGTTCTGGAATCTTTTTAATCAGCTTTCCTGAACCAGCTCGGACTTATTTCAATGGCTAGTTTATCTAGATCAGATTTGGGTGCACAGTCTGGTGAGTACATCTATGACAAGTCTCTGCAGCTGGTCAAAAGCAGCCAGAGGACTACCAGGGACTGGGCAAATGGTCTCAGCCATTTATGACTTCAGCAAAATGTGCAGACAAGCGTGGGAACAGCAGCCAGGTTTGTCAGAAGCACTTGGTGCACTCATTTGAAGGATGGACAGCTTTACCTAATAAACAGACAGTCGGTGCATCGAATATAGGAGTTAGGAGGTCATTTTGCAGCTGTACAGGACATTGGTTAGGCCACTTTTGGAATACCGTGTGCAATTCCGGTCTCCCTGCTATAGGAAAGATGTTGTGAAACTTGAAAAGGTTCAGAAAAGATTTACAAGGATGTTGCCAGGGTTGGAGGGTTTGAGCTGTAGGAAGAACCTGGAGAGGCTGGGGCTATTTTCCCTGGAGTGTCAGAGGAAGAGGGGTGACCTTTATAGATGTTTATAAAATTGTGAGGGGCATGGATAGGGTGAATAGCCAAGGTCTTTTCCCTACAATAGGGGAGTCCAAACTAGAGGGCATAGGTTTAAGGTGAGAAGGGAAAATTTTAAAAGGGACACAAGGAGCAACATTTTCACACAGAGAGTGGTGTGTGTATGGAATGACCTGCCAGAGGAGCTGGTGGAGGTTGGTACAATTACAATATCTAAAAGGCACCTAGATGGGTATATGAATAGGAAGGGTTTGGAGGGATATGAGCCAAATGCTGGCAAATGAGACTAGATTAATTTAGAATATCTGGTCAGTATGGATGAGTTGGACCGAAGGGTCTGTTTCTGTGCTACACTACTCCATGACTTTGCGATTCTACGAATACTGCAATTACTTCTAGCAGAACCTGAAATTCCAGGAGTTACTCCACCCATTTTGTGGTGTCAGCCATTTTATGTAGTTATTGCACTGTTTTCTCATGATCTGACATTGTAGTCAATTTTACTGTACTTATGCAAGTGGGCTCAACTGAGATACAGAGATTGCCCTCCCCAACCCCAGCCCATTCATCATGTCCTCTTTTGTGTTTCTGTCCCTGTGATCTCTTAAACCTCGTCCTGAGCCCCTTTATATTATGATTTATAGTCCTAGAGTATTACAGCACAGAAAGAGATCCTTTAGCCTAGCATGTCTTGTGTCAGTCATCAAGCACTTATCTACTCTAAATCCCCTTTCCCAAGCCTGTAGACCTGTGTGCTGTGGGTTTGGAGTCTATATCGTTCTTAACTGCTGCAATGGTTTCCTGCCTCTACCACCATTTCAAGCAGTAATCTCCAGATACCCATCAACTTCTGGAAGAAAGCCCGTCTAAACCTCCTGCCATATTTCTTAAATTTATGACCCCCTGATAATTGACTGTTATTGCTATCAATGCCCCTCAATTTTATAGGCCCAATCAGGTGTTCAATTTAACCTCCGAGACCATAGCTTTGGAGATTCCCAAGCTCTTATTGGTCCTACACTCTCCTCATGTAGAGGGTAGAGTGATCTTCATCATGGAGAAGCCTCTATCACTGTCACCAATCCCTCACTGATCTGAATACAGTGAAACCCATTCATGGGCTTGAGTTGCCTGTTTACCCCAGGACTCCATGAACGTCCACCAAGAAGCCTCCTGACCATTACTGACCACCCCCAGGACTGATTGTGGCCCATCACCTGGACTAACTGTTGACCTCAAATTAGTTGCACTTAACTTGCAGGACTGACTGGACTGCAGGGATATGGATCTTTGCGGTCTGGTAGGTCCAAGTATGTGACTGACTATAACCATCTCTCTGGTTCTGGGATCAGATAAACACCTTGACTGACTGTGGCAGTACCCCCTGCCTGGGGGCAGCCAAACTTCACCTTGCTAAGGACTGCTCCCTTTCAACTTCCCATATTGCTTGAAGCACATGCAGCGTGTTTGTCCTATTATCTGATACATGCTGCACGTGTGGTGCAGTGCAATACAAAGACATGTCCACCCCCTTGACTATTCAGTGCTCTCCACTGTGACAAGCATCCTGTTTCTCCCTCTGCACTAAAAAGCAACGTGAACCACAGAGGCTAGTAGCCAGCAGTTCAGTTCTAAGATGGATCATTGTGTGCTAAGATAGTAATGTAAAATAGACAGAGGCTGGCTAAGTCATTGCAAAGTGACTGAGTGCTAAGAAATCCTGTGACCCTCTACATAAAGAGACCTGGCAGAAGCTTGCAAGTCACAGTTGTTTGTGAACTCCAATGCAAAGTGCTAAAGGGCTGAAGCACTGTGAGATTGGTCTGACAGCCATAATGATGTCATGGAGTATATAGGGATATTGTGGTGAAGACTCATTTGGATGTGGACTGGAACAACCAATTGGTGAGCTGCAGCTGCTGGTTACCTGCTCTGACATGTCAGAAATTTGTGACTGTAATTTCTTGGAAGGAAGAAGAATTGGAAGTAGCGTATAAATAAGGTGACTTGGGTACTTATGTGGTGCAAATCCATGGAAATGAAGTAATCACAGCTTGATGCCAAGGTTCTGAAGTCACCATTTTAAGGTTGAAGGAAAAAACCACAAAACGTTTTCTCAACGTCTCAATGATTGCTTCATTCTCCTTGTATTTTGCCAGCCTCCACTGCTCTCACCTCAGCAGGGAAGGAAAATTCCATCCTATGTTGTTAAACACTTTTATATACTGATCTGACTACATCACATTTAATGTCAAAACTGTTGATGGAACAGTTCACGATACATATGGAACTAATAGGAATGTGTGCTGGTTCAAGTTCTGTGTTACTTGTTTTGTGGTAATAGTTCCAAGCTGCAAAGCACAGCTGTAAGGCCAACCCAGACAGTTCTTTGTGCTTACTTTGATAATAGGGGGGCTACAAGTGTCAGGATAGAGGAACGGCAGCAATGTTTGGCTGTGAAGCTTGACTGATGTAAAACAGATGGGCCTTAGATGAAGGCCAATACAAAAACAATCATGCCATTCAACATGGCTAGCCTGCCACCTCAGCAAATTGAATGTAGACAATAAGGGTATCAGTTCTAACTACTTCAAAAACAAGGCTGCCATATCGCCATAGGCTTTGGATTTTTACTATCAGAATAAGAAGAAATCTGTCAGAAAGAGAAGCATTTGTTTACAGGCTATACGATCTCTATGTAAACTACACATGTATTTTATATATACATTAAAGATATTTATAGATAATACTAGCAGTTGCCAGAGGAGCTGCATTCAGATAAACATAGGTGATCCCTGAGTAATTCCAAAATTCTTTCCTTTATTTATTCAAGAAAATCTTATCAGGAAACAGAATCATTGGAATCCTTCTTGAGTGCTTTTCACTTTTTCAGGAAAAGAAAGCATCCAGTCTGCAGAGCACATGACTATCCACAATAACCTCTCGCAGCAAATGTATCTGTTATCAGGTAAAAAGATATTGCACTTCATTGTATGCAATATTATTGCTGTTCTCCACAGATCCGGGGAAACATCAAAGCATTCTGCTGACTCAAACCATTTTCATTTGGTCCATGAGATTTAGATGATTTATTACAGATTTGCTTTGAAAGAGTGTAAAGATGTGGAACGTGCTAACAAAAGATACTTCTCCAACACCCTTCTCAAGCTTCTCCTTTCAAATACCTTGTAACATCAGCCACTTTATTAAGATGTAAAGGATTTTTGTTGTCATTGTATTTTGTTTTTGTTGCAGATGCAAGGTCAAGAAGAGAAAGACTTGCATTTACATAGCACCTTTCATTAACTCAGGATGTCTCAAAATGCTTTATATATAATGAAGTATTTTTGAAGTGTAGATACTGTCATGATTAAGACGACAATCTGTACGGTTGCAGTTTGATGTCTTTAAACTGAAGTGTCCCTCCGAAGAGCTGTGTTTACACTGTTGTGTTTGTTGACATAAAATAAATTTTCTGATTGTTGTGCTCCTAGTGAGAATTCTACTGACACTGAGAATAAGTTGTAGATAAGATCACATCAGTATAGCCCTTCCTTCCAGATCCAGATTCCCTTCATTTGAGGCTCCCTGCTGGGAATGTTAGACGGGTAGATTTTCCTTTATAGTTTCAACTTGTACTTTAAGGTTGCAATTCACTGTTGTTCTGCTGATAATTTAAATTGCTCATAGAGGTCATATTTTATTGATAGCACAGAAGTAGGAGGTAGTAATGCATGTCTTGTTATTAATTCATCCTGGGAGTAGCTCCATACTCCAGCTATGGCACTCACAGCCTAGGTACACATTCAATCTCTAATATCTTCGTGAGTTGAAGATATTTTGTGGGCTGCCAAATGGAGCAGTTCATGGTGGCAAGATCAGCAAATGCTTATTCTGTCTTCTTAAGCATTACCTGTTTGAGATTCAATTTCACAACCGTAGGATTATATGGTGGTAGAGAGGCAGGACAAGGTTATACAGTAGAATTACAACAATTATAATGTTATCTTAAGGAAAATAATAAATAGGTCCAGCGAGAAATAGAATAAGTTTAAAATTTTTGAGTCAACACAGCCTAATCGATAACTCTCACCCCTCTAATTTAGAAAAGAGAGAGCTATGAAACGTGAATATATAAAATATGCTAACATTCCAATACTGTTCAACACTGACAGGAATAGTGTACTGTTGGAGTTTCTGGCAGTTGGATGATTCTTAAGGGGTTCATTTGCTTGCTTTGGTGATTCAAGTGGAAAACTAACATCCAGTATAAATTATTCAAAGAAAAGCGATAAATGATCCCTCTACCCTAACCAGCATTCTTCCCCAATTTACAGTTACAAAAACAGATCAATTCATGTCTCATTTAATTGTCATTTATAAATCTTACTGCACAGAATACAGCTACCAAATAAAAGTCACTTTAAAAATGACTAGACTCTTTAAAGATAAGTGCTAAAGCGTAATCTAAATTCAAGCCTTTATCCAAAATTGACCTATAAAATTACTATTATACTAATTATACAGTGCAATGTGTTAAATAGTAGCTCTAGAAATATGTGGAAATGAATTAAAATCCATTCCCCTATCTACTTTAATAATTCTTAAATGTTTTCTCATGTCTTTACTCAAGATATACTATGCGTTACAGAATGTTGAAAAATATTATGTTTTTCCGTTCTTGTCTCGATGTATTACCCGTCTATTCATGTTTCTTCTCAGCTATTCCACAACTAAAACGAGAAGCAGCCCATATGCTCATAGACTTCGATTAAGTGCCCTCTAGAGTCAAACACAAAGAGGCCCATGAGACTGATCAGACTACTTTTACGCAGTTTTCCCCATTCAGCTGGTACTCTTCTTCTTAAGAGCACAGCAAGACCTAGACCTGCAAATGCCAAGAATCACAGACCTGTGACCTATTAAGCATATCCTCCTTTTCAGAATTGGTGATAAATGCTATTACTTTGACATAAACTGAAATTCTGTGGCAGATGAGCTGTGGAGCAGTGCATTGTTTTAAAGAATTGTCCTTTACACCAGATGTCACCTTAAAGACATGCTGCTGACAGGAAATCGTAAGCAGTGTTCAGTGACAAAGCATACAAAAGGATTGCATTTGGAAGGCCAAGTTGGGTATCAGCTTTTAAGATTTCCTCAGCACTAGTTTTTAAAACCTTTGTTCTGTCCCACAATTCAGTGTTTGCTGCTTTTTTACTGTAAGCCACAATACGGTTGACAACAGCTGCCATCTAGTGGTGATTTGGAAAATAGCAATGGAAAATTTTAATCTTCTGCAGTCTGCTCTCCAGTGAACAAACTAAGTTATTACAATTTTAGAGATAGTAGGAACTGCAGATGCTGGAGAATCTGAG